GCCCTCAAATTTAAAAATTTGGACAGTGGACTAGGCTCCAAGCACACAAACACCCATACATTCACACGCATACATAATCGAACATCCCCCCACACTTAAGCACGACATTGTCCTCAATGGAGGAAAGATAAGGAGGGTAGAACAAAGTTTACCAGACCAAGGGTGAATGATGGTGGACGGGGGCAGGCGGTGCATGCCAGGAGGAGAGAGTAGTCGGAACACAAACACCACACAAAATCTCACAAAGGTTGAGTTATTGACTCGAAAATTAAAGAACAAAACTGACTCAATCGAGGAAAAATAGAGAAAGAAATGCAAACTGAATGGTTGGGTTGCCTCCCAACAAGCGCTTCTTTCACGTCGTGAGCCGGACGATGGCTCCTAAGTTTCGGTCCACCCCAAAACCTCCTTGAAGTTGAGGTTCTCGTCGATGAGGTGGAGTCTCAAGTCACGAGCATGTGGTATGACAGGTGATGGAAGCTCGTGCACTTGATGCAGATGAAGTCTCCACCCTTGAGACCTCTTTTTCGTTTCTTCTCTTGTCTCATTGCCCCAAACCAGATATAACAACATCGACTGACCACCATCGCGTCCACCAAGAGGGACCGATGTCGATGTGGCCTTGGTTGGGCAAAGAGACACTGCAAATGGGTCCTTGCTAAGCAATTCCTCGAAGTTTGGTGGAGATATCACATGTAACTCATGGCTGGTGCAAGCCTCTTCCACCTCAACTTCGCCCTCGGCCTGGACGCCAATTGCTTCTTCAACCCCCTTTCCTTCTTCATGTGGTATCACCCCTGGGAAAAGATCAAGAACTCCTTCTGCTTCATTTTCGTCATCCTCCACAACTTCTTTCTGCACCCTTTCTTGCTCTTCTTCTTCCAATACGGATTGGAGGGCAATTCGCCAAGCAATTTCTTTGATGAGATCATCTTGCATCTCCTCACTCATGACTGCCTCTTCAAAGCTCAGTTTGGGATGTGGGAATGTGTGGTCGGCTACGACAGGACATTCCTGATCATGATCATCACGGGAGCTCTCCGTGACAACTTCAGTGTGCTCCACAATGTCCTTCTAGCCTTCTTCTTCCTCCTCCTCTTCTAGTATGGTAGCAGAAGGGTGATCTGCAGCAGGTTGTGCATAAGATTACTCAAGATCATCGACTCTCTTCTTAATGCTCAGGAGGATCTCCTTTGCTTCAAGATAGGCCTAGGTACAAAGATCCATCCTGGACCATGATCTCTCACTGTCTCGAGCAAACTGCTCCATGAGAAGCCTCAATTCAAAGTTTGGATCTGGCTGTGGAGTGTAGCATGGCGCTGCAGAATGGCCCGTGAAGGCCGCCATGGGTAACTCCAGCTCCGATGGCCCTTCTGGTTGTGGGAGAAATTCTTCTTGATAATGAGGTTGTTCTTGATATGCCCAGGGGTCTGATTGTTCTCCGTAGTAGGGGGGTTGATACTGAAACCCGAATCCATAGTCTTCCCCTCCTTGATTTCTCCAAGAAGTCTTGGGGTAATACCACTCGGGTGGTGGTGGATACCCCCACTGGTCGGAGAAGACATTAGGATCCATGATTCAGATCTGCACCAACAAAAACAAAAACACCCAAGTGAAAAGCAAGGGTGGAAAAGAAAAGAAAAAACGCTAAAATTACAAAATTCTGCCTTTCCTAATAATCTAGAAAGTCCCCGGCAACGGCGCCAAAAACTTGACTCGCTATGACACAACTCCTAACAATGGCCAAGTGTAATCAATGAAAGGGACTGCAGTATAGTGGCTCAAGTAATAAATATCGAATCCACGGGTCTCTAGAGTTACTATTACTCAGCTTCAGTTCATTATCTAGCAAACCAGATTAAGATGGAAGAACTAAAACTACTCTAACAAACTATAGTTAAAGTTAATCTAATTACAGGTTGGGAACTCACTTAGGTATGATTCCCCCTAGCCACTAGCCAGATTAATGATTGATGATCTCTAACCTGTTTCACTTTCATTCACAATGCGGAGAATCCTTGACTAGACCTTGAATCTCGACTAAAGGATCAAGGCCCTCTTGAGTCGATTGCCTAGAGGGACGTATCCTTCTCTAGAACAACCGATCAAGGCGTTCTAAACTAGACTCCCTCTATCGAATGAGGTTCTCAATCGATACAAAGCACTGAATCGACCCTCGACTAAAGCAATCTATCCAATACTATCAATCTGTGGTGCTCTATTGACCTAATCAGGTATTCGCTCTCATAAGATCAAAGCAGAATCAATTATCTCGACTAAAGCAGAATTGAATCATGAAAACATGCATAGATTGAATATGAACTCAAGATTATCAAGTAAGAGTACTCATACAATCATCCGATTAAACAAACATAGCTAGGGTTCCTCAAAACCTAAGTGAAGGGAAGTTACTCCATAGAGAAGAGAGAGACTGCAGTAAGAATCTTAAGATGATCAGTCTTCAAGTCCGGGCTTGTTCCTCGAGCTTCCAAGGCAAAGAAATCCTCCAATTCCACTCCACGAATGCCCTCAAATCGCCCTCTCTCTCTTTGGTTCGTCCCTTGGGTGTTTGGGATCTAAAACCAAGCTCTCCCCTTGCAAAAACACACAAAACAGGCTTTTAACAGCCTGCGTTCGCGATCCCCGGTCAAAATACCTGATCAGGTATTTTGGGTGGCAACCGGGGATTGTTGAAATGCACCATCGAGGAATAAAGGTTAATCCCTGGTCAAGGCCAAGAATACCCGATCGGGGATTTAAGCGTCACGACTAGGCCCCCTTCTGCTTCTCAAACGTCCAAAAGTGATTTTCCCCGGTCTGCTCCGATTAATACCCGGCCGGGTATTTTGCTCCTCCAGCACACTTCAACCCAAATGTGCTCCTTTCGACCCGAAACTCGTTCCTTTGCCTCGATGCCAACGCCAAGCCCTGAAATATGACATAAACACACAATCTAGCATGAAATCGGCTTAAAACACGAGAATCAACATCTCAAACGGCTCAAGAATAGGGGTAAAAACATGTGCAATCAATGGTCTATCATATACCGACAAGGAATCCCTCAAGAATAGGTAAGTATCATCGGTATAAAATAAATGGGAAGTCAAAGGAGCATGCCGATGAACACGTAAACCATGTAAATTCGCAGCCATGATCTCACTTGACAGTTTAGCCGAAAACACTTCAGTATAGATGGCATAGAGAAGAGGAGAGAGGGGATCACCTTGACATAAATCCCGTTGGGGCTTGAAATACCCATGCGATGCCCGTTAATCAAAACCGAAAAGGATATAGTGGGAATGCAAGCATTGATCCAGTGTCGCCATGCGTAACAGAACCCCATCTATTCCATGATCATCAACAAGAATTACCATTCAACTCGATCATATGCTTTTTCCATATCCAGCTTAAAGTGCCATCCATTTATCCCGACCCTGCACTTTAGCCCATAATCTGCCATGGCAGGTATAGCTATTCCATACAGCCCTGTCAAGCGATTGAAACGTCTTCGTTGAAGAACAATGCGATGGAAGAGGTTAGTGTTAGCATCCCCTTCAGGCAACCAATCAACTAGGGACTTTTTACGCCAATAGCATTCCTCTTCCACATGCGCAGTCGAGAGGGTCTGCTCCAATTTTCGAATAGCATCCCAATCCACCATTGAAGCCTCTCTGAGATCCTCAATTGCAGCCTTGAGTTCCCTAATGCGACTAGCCGAATTTGAAGACCCACTCTCGCCCAGTCAATCAGATCATGGCGAGCTATTTTGAGTTGATTAAAGGCCCTAAATTGGACAAAACCACGAGTTGGTTTGGACCAAGCATATTTATTATATCCAGGGCCTCGACATTGGAGTTCCATCGAACTGAAATCTGGTATGAGATTGATGCCCCTGCTTGATGGGCTGCACAAGAAGCATCCAATGATCAGAGCCTAAGTCAGTAACGTGGATTACTTTCAAGTCCGGCCATTCAGAAATCGTTGATGCACTGCCAAGACATCGATTAAGCCGCTCTAACATATGCTCCCCACATGCACGCTGATTCGACCAAGTGAACGGTGAACCCTGAAATCTTAAGTCAAAGAGACAAGTAGACAATATGAACTCATTAAATTGATCCAAAGCAGCCAAGGAGGGTACATTTCCCCCAGCTTTTCATTGGAAGAGAGGAGGGAGTTAAAGTCCCCCACAACGAAAGAAGGTAAGGAGACAGACGAAAGCAAAGTAGCTATTTCATTAAGTTGACACTAGCGAGCATCAGAATCACAAGATAGATGAACAAATACAATGACAAGGCTCCCTACAGCTGGAACTGAACATTCAATAAAACAAGAAAGGAAGAAAGTTGATGAACTGTACAAGCAACACGATCTCCCCGAGCTACAACTAGACCACCACTACCATTAAGCGCACTAAAGCACCTCGCTGATTTGTACCCCAGACTTGCAAATTTGGATTTGACGAAGCCATCATCTCGTTTGGTTTCGGTAAGAAAGATAAGGTTGGGCAGGAATCATGCAACGACTCCACCAAGAGAAGGAACATTCAAGGGAGAGCCCATCCCTCGACAATTCCGCACCATAAAACTCATGGATCAGGTTGGGCCTAGTTGAGGCTAGATGCCACCACCTTACCATAGTGCGAGGAGAATGTAGCCGACGCCGATGAGTTAGAGCGCGCCCATTTGGCTGTAGGAGAAGCAGAATTGGGGACAGATGACTAAACCATCACCCATGGTAGTGTCCTCCGCCGATGGAGCTGTCGTAGTATCGTCAGAGCCCGAACTTCTAGGAACAATTGAAAGAGCCTAGAAGTTGGCACCCATAAGTCTCGAAGAGGAATGCCGAGTGTCCAGCCACTCACCACCAGAGCCCTCCTGGATTGGAGATAACCGCTGAGAAGCCTGGTGCGATGCAGGCTCCCTGAATCTTCCGTCGTTCCTAGAGGATGGGGAGCGATTCTTGGCCGCACGGACCCAAGTGATTCGCCTGTGCTTCTTCTACAAGGTATCCTCTGTCACGGGTGGCCCTGATTCAGTTGCCACCGAGAACACCCCATATTTTGGGGGAGCACCAGCCAAAGTATCCTTCTGGGGGCAGCCCTCCCCAATGTGCCCAATTATACCACAAAGGAAGCAAAAGTGAGGAACACGTTCAAGTTTAACGGTTGCAACGAAGTTACCTCGAGTTGGAACAATGTGCCCAACCATAATCTCATCTGACAGGGGAGCAGTTAGATCTAGCATCGGTGTGGCCCTAAAGTAAAGCCCACCCGAGACATCCAAGCGGTGGAGCGTGGGAGGATAGTTGAGCACCCCAAGGGAAGAACCCAACCGCAAGGGCATTTTCTCGGTGAAGCAATCAAACGAAACCTTCCAGATTTGAACCGCCATTGGAGCCCAGCGAAGTTGTTCAGCCACTTCGGGAGATGGATTTGCCCATCGTGCCAACACCAGCATAAAATTGTCGAAGGTCCAAGGATATTTGGTAACCTCTTTGTGAAGATCAGCCTTCTGCGAAAAGAAAAATTGGGTCACCCTCCTCCACGCAAGAAATTGTTAGGTCACCCTTGTAGTGCCACACCCGGCCCAGCATCATCTTGAGAGCGTACAACAGTGGAGGAACACCAAACAAGCGTTCGATCAATGAAAGCTCCCCCCGGGCCACCCCGGCTGCCATATCCTCGTCATTGAATTGCACCACCACCGCAACGGTCGACGAGTCCCCAGTCAAGAGAAAAACGATGAGAAAAGTGAGGTCAAAATATGGAGACAATACGCACAATCCTCCCCCCCCCCCCCAGGAAGGAGATTTATAGCCATGATGCTCCGGAGAGCAAGGCACCGTCGCCGCATGACGGCGGGAAGCTGTAACGGCACTAGCGCGCGAAGGCGGTTTCCGACCCACTCCTCCGAAAAGAGAGAGCACGATCAACAGTTTTTTTTAAAGGTATACGTTATTATATCTTTTACTATCTATCGTCTATCAAGGTTTGGAAATGGGATTCGTTATGAAATCCTTTCTCTCCAAACTATTTACCTACTACTTTTCCGATAAACAGCAAATCTGTGATTGGCTACCGAAGAATTATGGACGGACATCTTCAGCATGTAAGAGAGTTATAAGATTCAGCATAATCTTCTTCCAACAACTCGAGTTATTGGGACCAATTGGTTTATGACATGGTATTAGAGCTGGTTTGACCCAGTGGTCGTGTGTTGGAATCTCCGCCGACCCCAATATTAACATGCACTTCGACGGCAGTAATTGTGCTCTCCACTCACACACTCTCCTCCCTACCGAGCTTGTATACTATACATTGGATCTAAAGAAAGGAACCATAAATAGTAGTGTCAGGGCCTTGAGAAGGCCATCTTGACTTAACTCTGCGGCTAATTGGTGTCTCGGTGCTCTAGCTGCATTATTTACTGGAGTTGCCGATGAACTTGATTAGGGTACTGTTGGGTGGCTTTGTTGGGGGATTCATCCATCATGTTGTTGAGTATATATATACTTGAAGATCCCAATCAAAGCTACTGTCTTTTTACAGTTTGTGCATGTGGGATTTGAGATTCATGAAAACAAGTGTTTGTGGATTGTTTTATTGGGAATACCTTGTCAATATCTCTTATCTATAGCTATCCTCTTATCCTCTCAGTCTCTTTAACTTGGATATTAAGAACCGTTCTTAGCTTGTTCTTCCATTCCCTGGTAGTTTGACCATCTCCTAATCCTCTCTTACTGCTCCAAAATGTTATAATGTTAAGACAAGTTCTGGTTTATAAAAAATGATAAAAAGCATAGCTAGAATGCGAACGAGCTTCAACTGATACTTCTAGCTTCTGATGTTTCATATGAATACTTTCTCAAAGATGGAAGCAGGAGCATGATTAAATCAAAGATCAAACGATGGGTCATTTTAGTGAATAAATGTATTGTATTTGTAGGACAAATTGAAAAACTAGTTGTTTGAGACTGAAATAGTCGTTGGGAAGAATTCAGTTGAAAACATCCATCAGTCGCCTCAAAGTCGTGGGTGTCGCAATCACAGGGACGACCTTCCTTCTCCGCGCGTGCAACTCCTTTCCCTGCTTCCGGTGCGTCTGGCAGGGTCTCATGGGTGTTCCCGGCTAGTCTAACTCTTTTTGTCCTTTTGTGTGTTAGACTAAGCACTAAAATACCCCAAATTTGGCTCCCATAGTGATGACAATTTGAACCCTCCCCACGGGTATTACCCAATCTGACAAGCTATCAGGCGAGTATTACCCGACTCGTAGTAGGGTGGGGTGGGGCATGACTATTTACTTCCGACCCGCCCTGTCACACCCCGCCCCGTTCTTGGTCCAATATACCTCAAATTTTTATAGTATTTATTCATATTTCTCCTATTTTAACTTTTCTTCAATTAGTTAGTGTCGTTTTTCAACTAGTTAGACTCAATTACCTATTATTTTATCACTATTTTTCATTTATAAAGTGTTTCCCCCTTCGTTTATTCATAAAAAGTAAAATTTTGTGTATATTTTTTCAAATAACATGCAAGAGTGAGTCAACCCGTCCTGTACCCGCACGAATATTATCCATTCCAATTCGTAGTAGCGTGAAGCGGAGCATGAGTATTGAGGTACCCGCCATGCCCTCACTAATTAGAGGGGATGGAGTGCTTGATCTCGCCCCTTGGAGATGGTCATTCAGCTTAGAGCTAATAACTAGTTATCTTGTTAACGGTGTAATCGATAATCGAACCGAAACTGGTGGTTTATGGTTACACCAATAACCGATTAAATAGTAAACGGTCGATTCCTGATAACTAAATTGGCTAATTAATAACCGACTGTTAAACGGTTAATAACCTACAGTTAAACGGTTAGTAACCGACGGTTACACGGTTAACTGACTAACCGATTACAACCATCTTCATAGTTATGGCCGGAAATAATAGGTCTCGATGAGCCGCAAGCATAAACCAAAATAATGGGATGTTTGAAGTTCTACAAGATCCCTTGCCTACCCTAGTTGTAATAGTGAGTAGTGACTCAAATTAGAATATTTTCAAAGAAGGGCTTTAGAAGGAGCACTGTAGAAAATTGGACTTGCTTATAGTAGCTCGACAACAATCACTAACACCTAAGCTTCCATGCAATGTGGTTGGTTTATGTCTTTTTGAGTTGAGTAATTATTGCTGGGTCTCTTATTCTTGTCGGTTTCTTTAATCAAATTTGACAATATAATAGTATTTTCTGTATATGTATTGGATTGAGTTGATTATACATTGATATATATGTTAAATTATTTTTATTCAATGATAACAACTTAAATAAATAACACGTACGTATTTAGGAAAAAAGCTACAAAAATGTACAATTGAAAAAAGGAGGAGGTGTTTCGTTGGTTATGTTACCGATCAATTATTTTGGTATAACCTTGCTAAATCACTTTGCTTAACGCTTATCCGGTTAATCGACAAAATAACCAAGAACCTTGTAATTACGATTAACGGACTTATATAAACGATCCGATTAAGGATAAGCACGAAATGCTTAATGGTTAACTCATAACCGACTAAATGGTTATGATTATAACCGAACCGATTATCAGCCATAGTTCGGCTGATGGTTGTATGGAAAGGCTTAAAAATAAAAAATCTTAACCCACATTCTTGTAGGGCCGAAAAATAATTATTTAAGAGGAAGTAGCTAGTAGGACTTAGGCTAGTAGGCTACTATATGGATCCTCCCGTCACCTAGTGGGCTCACGTGTATATTCCCAGGCCCACTTTGTTTGTCCGTGATTCAGTATTTGTTAATTGAAATTTGTGGGTGAGATGCGAGTATTTCCCGACCTAATTGCAATTACGAGTTTGATTAAGAAAAAGAGCTAGCTGCCAAGATTTTGACGCAAATTTGATGCGACACGTGAGCGGCGGCGCTCCATCTGCAGCCACAAACCCACACACAAACACAGCCAAAAAAAGCCTTACTGGTGCGCAGTTGCGGTGGCTGGCTTTCCTTCTTCTACCATTTTCCTCTATAATCAGGAAGCCGGCTCACCGCAAGTTGGCCGCTGTCAAGCGCAAGAAATACGGAGATGGGTTGCTCCTCTTCGATTCCCCGACTGCTCTTTCTTTTGCTCTCTCTCACGCTTTCTCTTACTTATCTTGTCGACGTATATGGTATATCTCATTGCTGTGGTTCTTGCGTTAATTGACGGCGATCATGTTCACCGATAGTAATCGTTAACGGGTTTGGTTTCTTTTGGTTACCGGCCAGCTGGGAGCGAGGATATTGTTGGCGGCGGGAGTACCCATTTGTACGGCGAGATATTGAAGGATGAAGCCGTGGAGATGCCAATCTAGTTATGCTCCTAACAGGCCATTTTGTTAGGAGATACTGATAGGGTTAGATGGGCAGCCACGTCTCCAAGCCATGATCCAGCGGTGGAGGTAGATTGGCGCCAGCATGTGAGGGAGGAGAGCCGAGTCCATCGGCTGGCCCAAGCCTACAGAAAAAGAAAATGGGGCCCACCAGGCCCCCAAATTCAAAAAACACCACTTTTTTTTACTTTAAAACCCTCCCCTCTCTAATCTTTCTCCACCAGACACGTTTTCCCCCTCTCTCTCCAAAAATCAATTGTTTTCACTCCCTCTCTCTTTCCTCTCCCTCTCTCTTTCCTCTCCCTCTCCCTTTCCTCTCCCGATAACGACGACGGCGGCCAGGTTGGTTTGACGGCGGCGACGGTGCAGACGAAGCGACGGCGACGAAAGGGTTGATTGACGGCAGCCGTTGACGAAAGAACAACTTCATTTACTGAGGTAGTAGAGTTTTTTTTTCTTTTGGTCATGGATACTCATGTTCGTTTTCATAGCTTCCACTAGATCTGGGTTTTCCTTTTCCTACGTTTTTTCTGGATGAGTTTGATGGATTTGTTTTCTGGTAACTTAGATTTGACTAGATCTGGGTTGTTTTTTATTTTTTTATTTTGTGGATATGTTTTCTGGGTTTGTGGATTTGATTGGATCTGAGTTTGGGTTGCTGGGTTTGTGGATTTTGTGGATTCGACTGGATCTGGGTTTCTTTGTTTTCTGGGTTTTGTGGATATGTTTTGTGTGCGTTTCGATATTAGCTATGTTCGGGCAGGATATCAGTTTTCAATTGTCTGGATAGTTGTGTGGTTGAGATCTGAGATTCGAATTGTAGATCCAAAACATTAGTTCCTTTCATAGTGGATAACAATTAGCATGCTTGTGGATATGTTTTCTGGGTTTGTGGATTTGATTGGATATGGGTTTGAGTTCCTGAGGTTTGTGGATTTTGTGGATTTGACTGGATCTGGGTTTCATTGTTTTCTGGGTTTTGTGGATATGTTTTATGTGCGTTCCGATATTAGTTCTGTTCAGCCAGGATATCAGTTTTCAATTGTCTGGATAGTTGTGTGGTTGGGATCTAGGATTCGATTTGTA